TTCTTGGTTGGCTCGAAACCGTCCAGCTGGTTCAGCAACTCCAACATGGTTCGCTGGACCTCGGAATCACCACCTGAGCTGCCCTCCACTCGACTTGATCCAATGCTGTCAATCTCGTCCATGAAGATAATGCTGGGTGCGTGTTCTCGTGCCATGACGAAGAGTTCACGAACCATGCGACTACCCTCACCAATGTACTTCTGTACCAGCTCGCTACCAGACACTCGGATGAACTTGCAGTCAGCGTGATGTGCGACCGCACGCGCAAGCAGTGTCTTTCCTGTTCCAGGAGGGCCGTATAGCAGAACACCCTTGGGCTGAGCGATACCGAGCGATTCGAAGAGTTCGGGATGTTGCAGACCCAGCTCAATGACTTCCTTGATCTCCTTGATCTGCTGATCCAGACCGCCAATCATGTCGTATGTGCTGTCGGGCACCTTCTCGACCATCATGAGGGAGACGAGGGGATCGACGGACGAGGGAAGGAGCTTCTCGAGCTTGTAGGAGTCGCTGAGGAGAGTAACGCGCTTTCCGGCGGTGAGCTTGCTGATGTCTACGCTGTCCGCGACATCGACGACTGCTCTGATTAGCCTTGATTCCAGCTATGATTAAAGTGATACATACCGTATTTGCCCTCGGGGTGAACCTTTACAAGCACCTTCTTGGTACCCATGACCTTTACTACCTCTCCGACATAGGATCCCGGTTGCTGCAGAAGGCCGAGCTCTTCTCGCAATAACCGTACTCTTGAGTTGTAGTCATTGCGCTGGGCTTCAAGTCGTCGTAGCTTGGCCTGTCCCTGTATGATCTCGAGCTTCATCGTCTCGATCTTGTTGTGGAAGAAGGTATCGAGCGCCATGGCTGTGGCGGGCGCCGGCGGCGATGTTTAGGCTGAGGTGTTGTTTGGGCGGGGTTGTATGCAAGGAACTCGTGTAGTGGGCGACGGCGAAGACGGTGGAGTAAAAGTTGTGGGTGAGATAGCGATGGCGACTGTTGCACCTTGGTGTTGACGCCCGTGACGGCGTGGAAGCTTCCGAAGCTGGCCATTGTCGGATTAAGGTTGCGCCGGGCCACTAGCGCAAACGCGTTGGAGGAAGGAGCGCCTGAGCCCGAACACTGCAACGCGTGACTCTCTTTCACGTACCTACGAGTTATGTACTTTTATCAGTCACGTTCCACTATCCCAATCTCGCCTTATATAGATGAAGCATCATTTCATTACCGTCACGCTATTCTCACACTATACGAGACAAACATAGGGCCGCCATATCCAGCCCCGATCCCTCACAGCAATCTCTCACCGCGCGATCACGGGCGCGCTTACCTGCCTTAGTCGCGCGAGCTCGAGAAGTATCGACAATGACTTGGTCGTCGTGCCATAGTTGATCTGCACACTCTGCTCCTCGGCCACGTTGTCCTGGATTCTCAGACTGCTCAAATGCTTGTATATGTCTGTGTCCAGCGGAGCATTGACCTGAACAGCGTAGCCACGAGATGCATTGTTGATAACGATGCGTTCGGTCTTGACGGGAACTTCTCGTGGCGATGCTTCTGAGTCGTCAACGAGCGTCTCGTCTTCGCTATCTTCGCCATCACCATGACCCGCCTTGTCGAGAGCCTTGAGATCAGCCAGAGTCAATGGGACAAAGCCGTCATCTGATATCGTTAGTCTGGATACATCAACGTCAGCCGAAAACCCACTTGATGGACGTCGGCCCTTGAGCAGTTGTGCAATTTTCAGGCCCTTGCAATCCTGGACAAGCTCCCGGAAGGACTCGTCGATCCGCTGTATAGCTTCCGCATTTGCAACAGCTTGTTTCCCCTACATGCGTTACATAATCAGTCAATGTCTCACACGATTCGAGGCTCGAAGTTCTTACCATGGTGCGGACTACTCCTACGTGGGCAACTTGAATGGACAGCACGAGCACAGCCTTCACTTGGACCAGCTCGCCCATGATGGCGCTCAGCTTCTTCTCGTCTGCTGAGCCGTCCACCAGCTGGCGCGCAAACTGGATCATCTTACTTGTGGTTGACGGAACCAAAGTCTTGATCAAGGCAGCCAGCCTCTCTGACACGTCTTGTAGTCGAACCAGTTCCGCGGCAACAGTGGGTGTCTTCAGGTCCTGCTCATCGTAGATCATACCCATGATTGCCTTGACACTTTTGAGTTCGCTATAGTGTCGAGCCAGGACCTCAGGAAGACCTTTCTGACGAGCGTTCGCATCGCGGAGGCGTTTGAAGATTCGGAAGACTTGCTCTACGAGTTGAGTAGTAGCTTGGATTGCGGATACAACAGCCACCGCTTCAGCCTGTTACGACAATTAGCCTTGCCACCCATACAAACGAAGTGGACTTACCATAGTGTTCAAGGTATCGGTTGAAATTCCTTTGGAGAGATAAGAGCATAAGTACCAGGAGATTGCGCAGACAGCTCGAAGGGTGCGAGACAGCACTTAATGGCCAGCTGAACTTACCCAGAGCGTTATTGGGGCGCAGTGTCGATTGCGAGTTGACCGTAAGTACGGTTGGTCCGGTGACAGTTCGCAGCGTGCATGCAAGATAGCGACCAGTGATTCGCCCCCGCGAAGCGATCTGCAGCCATAAATGCACCCCAAAAGAACTCCAAGTTCGCACCGCCATTGGCGTCCAATGAGGATGGACATCTCACTGAGAGAAGCGGTTGAAAGCTGACATTACTTGTGCATGATGCCACGTCGTCCTTGGACCCCGGACGGGAAGACGGTGGAGGTTGCGCCTAACTCCAATTGCCGCTTCTTGTCTCTTCGCTTGTCGGTTTAGCCAGACCTGACCGAGCCAGCGCCGAAGAGGAGATCGAACTGGCGATGCTTAACAACATAGAAGCGATATATGGCAAAGTCGTCTTTCTCTTCTTCCGGGTAGCAGGCGAGATTGACATAACCATTCGTGGGCGGAAGGTGGATATGGTCTGAGCCAGCTTCTACCGTGAACGAAGAACTCCTGTATACTACGAGGCTCAGCCGACGCACGATCCTCTCCGCGATGTAATTGTTTGGGAAATCGGGTCGAAACATGGCGAAGACTGGGTGCCGACTGTCATTCTTGCTAGGCTTGAGGATCAAGTTTTGTCCTTGGTGGACAGACCGACCCGAAGCGCGTATCTAGTCGTCGTCAGCCGCCACCTTCCAAATGGTCACGCTGGGTGCTCTTACTGGGAGTTGTGCAGTGAACGTTGCGGACACCTTCGACGGAGCTGAACTCTTCAACACCTTGCGTACGTCCGTCATCGCTATGCATCTACTCGGTAATGCTGATTGGCTGACAGGGTGAACGATCTTCGGATCCCAGCCATACTGATAATTTACGACTAAAGTATTGCTTGGAATTGTCAGGAGCGTGCTCAGTCCATTGTAGCGGAGTTCGACTTACATGCTGAAATTGTAGACGTTGTCTGCCACGGTGCCATTGATTTGAAGAGCATTACCGCTGGCGATATTCCGGCTGACAGACGCTACTCCCGTCATGATTTGGACTTCCTTCGACGTACGATTAGCAGTAGACATTTGCGACATGTTCGACGGCGCCCTCAATGTTCGCTGGATAACATCGGCTATGAGGACGCTACCTATGGAATTGACCACACTCGGATGCCTCAGCACATACGATGAAGGAAGGCTGTGGAGCTGTGATTGGGACAAGCCTCTGGCCAGCCGAGCGGGGTACGAAAAAGCCTTGACCGGTGTGCTGCAGGCTGCATACGGCTGCCTCAAGGTTGCTGGATGATGTTCTCACAGCCCTGTATCGACGTGCAGCTCCGGTCAACTCGCAACGGCAAAGCGTATTTTCAAGCGAATCATGACCCTGGATCCCGATGAAACGATAAGCGCTTCTTGGTTCCTGTGCAAATCTTCGGCCTGCGCGCGCATCACCTTCTGCCTTGCCGCGAGACTCGTGCTACACGCAGTGCGCTTCGCAGGATCATCAATTCCTTACCTCCTCACGCCACGGCAACCATGAGCGACAATGGACGATTGCGCCTTAGCTAGCGCTGCTTTCCGCAGCGTCCCAAACTTCGTCCGTGCGACATCAGTACGCCCCACCTAGATGCAGCCCGATCGTCTCGACTGCACATCATGGACCGCTATCGTATACGTGATTGTGTCGCGCGGCTGGTCGACCATTTTCCAGAGCAGGCCGTAGAGATCCTTGCTAGGTGCTGTGAGGAACAAAAGGAAACCCTCCATGAAGTACTCGCATCCCTGATACCACCAAAGCACAACGAGTCTCCCTTACCTGTCGGGAACAACATCAATGTCACATTCCCACCACGTGTTCCGCCCTCTTCACATGGATCGCAACACACTGGAACTCCGCCTCCCCGCCAGGGACCGCCACGCCGCTTTCCTTCGACATCATATCCGATAAGCCCTCCTGCTACAGCATCATCAGTAGCATCTCACTCTACCAGGGACGAGATCAGCGCGGGAGAGTATATTTTACTTCCTACTCTCATCGGAACTAAGGTCGTAGACCAGAAGGTCCGAATGAGACCAGCGTCGATCAAGCACAGCGTGATACGCGGAGACGTTGTGGGCAGACGTCACCTCGAAGACTCCTTCAATATAAGTCAGGCCGATTTGACCCACGTCGAAGTGCCAGATCGCGTGACCGGAGAACTTCGACTGGAACCAGTTTCATGCGCCATTGAGCTTACATGGCGCCAACCTCATTCCAACTCCACACACGAAACTTTGTTTTACGTGATACCAAAAGACAAGCTTGACATAGACATCCTTCTTGGCTACGACGATTCGGGTCAAGAGATTGCAGGTGTGTATACAGTGTAGCGATAAGTGAGTTATGCGCTTTGGCTGACTAGATGTGCGCTTTTGCTAGAATACACACCTACTATCGTCCCTCAGTCACCAGCTCGGCAGCCTTCAACTTTCCAGAACTACAAGCAGGATTTCCGTCCCCTTGCCCCGACACCACCTCCAGCATCTTATCATCGTTCGGCAATGACCTATGACGGCGCAAGTTCCATCCACCGCCAAGACGACCGATACGACCCACATCATGTGGGAGAGCCACTCATCTCCCGGCAGCAATCTTACGCAAGAAATATGGAAGGCCAGCAGTCTTCACCGGCGCCTACAATCCTAGATGCGCATATTGCGCATCCACATCCTCTTCGACCAAATGTTGGCCCTGGCGCGCCTGTTCAAAATGCCGATCCTAAGAAAGCTACTGATAGGATCAGATTGAGTGTTGTATGGGACGCGACTACTCTGAACGTATGGCTAGATCTCAATGAGTACGGCGAAGACTTCTACCAAGCCTTCCAGCAACAGGCTGCAAAACAGCGCAAGGACATACTCGATCGAACCACTATGAGAATTCAACTAAAGAAAGACAAAACCCTACCATATGAGGAAGCCTATCCGCTCTCTCTTGATGAGGACGAGTTGGAAGCAGATTGGGAAACGACCTGCGAATGGTTGAACGCGAACAAGAGAGACAAGATGCCGCATATCTATGGGGTGGTTGAGACGGATGGAGGGTGAAGGATAAGTCTTTACCCGGCTTCTCAACCTGTAAAGCCATACGCATTATCACACCGACATCGAGCGCTGCTTGGACAGACGAGCGCTTCCGAGGAAGTTGTCGAGGTGCTACCGCTCCCTATGTATGCGACGGGGCAGTGTGCGTCCACATGCAACACGGTTATGAGTGTTAAGGTCAGTGTAGCCTGCAAATTTAAGAAGAGATCAGTAAGAACTAACGAGGAACAGTGGGAGTAAATGAGGCTCACGGCACGAAAAGAGGTTGCGATTAGCATCGCGCAAAACTACACAAATTGCCTATCTACGTAAACCTCTCGAACCCGTCCATCGACCCATCCAGATGCTCGGGCAGATCAAGCAGGACCATCGGCTTCTTGGGAGTCGAAAACCGCTTCGACCATGTTGACGCCGTTACGAGAACCCTTAGAACACCACCCGACGTTCCGTCCGCTGCCTTGTTGGATGATCTCACCAGCTTTCTCATGTTCTTCATGAAATCATCCATCTCGTCCCCCCAGTCTGAGTCGTAGAAGTCGACGGCGTCGATGAGGATGAAAATCGCTTTATGCTCCCTCCGCAACTCGCGTAACAGCTGTACTACTGCATTTTGATATGTTTCCAAGCACATGTCTTCCATGTTCGCCACGTCATCGTGGCCCAAAAAAGAAAGTAGAGGGAGTCCTTCCTCGTCCGTTGCTCCGTGTGCATTGCATGCAGCGAGCAGTTGGATAAAGAATGCCCGTAGCATAATTACTGGTCCAGAGCGCACTCTGCTGAGTCCACAGAAGAATGGGAGAACGAGTGTGCGCGGCGTCCTTTCCAGTTTCTCGTAGAGAAGCGCGATGAGGAAGCTCAGCGGAGAAGTCTTCTCGAACTCGCCATGGCCTTGAATGCACAGTATTTGAGACTTGTCTCGCCCGCCTAGCCAATTTCGGAATTCGGTGGTGTTTCCTACCCAGCCTGCGCGATTCTGGTACTTTGTTGGACTGTTCAGCCCGTCCTTGAGTACCGTGGAGACCTCTGGTACATGTGTATGCTCAGATCGGTCCAGGTCCAGCTCTTTCATAAGATCCTTCGGAGTAAGCGCCGTCTTTGCGACTCGCTCCTCGAGCTCGCTTATCCTTCGCTCTAAGCGCGGGTCAGTTCGCGGCGATGGAGAAATACGTTCAAACTTACTGTAGTTCTCTAAGCTCAATCGTTCCCGTTTCAGTTCTTCCTTGAGATTGTCTATGTCACTGTTCCCTTCTTGATGTCAGCCGCACGCCAATGCAACCAGGAAGACTTGTGGCTCACACTTAGCATTCTTGATCACGTCATCGAAATGATCCTTGAGAGCGTTAATGCCATCGCTGACTTGTCCAACATGTTCGTCGACGCGGTATATGTTTTCGTTCATTTCATGGGATCGAGAATTGAGCTCGAGCGCTGTTGAGAGTGTGGCTTTTTGAGACCAAGCTAGGTACAACTGGGTTTCCTCCGTGAAGCGACTCCTAGACTGCCGGATGTTATCAACACACTTATCGATCCATTTCCCGTAGTTACTGTTCCTCAAAAGACTGTCTTTGGCGTGTTCTATGCGAATCAGTACGGGACGTGCGCTCTAGACTTATAGTTGGTGGTATTGGCAGAGTTGACTTACTCCAGGAAGACTGCTTATACCAGTCGATTATCTTCTCCAGAGCTATAAGAAGATTGGTGTAGATATCGTTGACGCACAGCTGTATGGTATTGCGCCCAGGGTAGAGTGTCTGATACTGCTCGCACTTATTGACGACTTCGGGAACCTCTTGCAGCAGATCTGCCATTCTCTCGCGGACTTGAGAATGTTCCGTCATGGCCTACCATATCTGTCAGTCTATGGAGTCACATATGTGATTGGCATCACAAACAGTCAAGATCAATGTCAGGCCTCCGCACAGAGTTTTGTACTCCCCGTCAGGTAATAGGCCTATAAAAGCCTGCATAGATTTCGCGTTGTCTCCAACGGTCCGAAATCCACTGCGAATTCGGTCCCATGTCGTGTCGTTGCTGTGGTACTCTTTCACGACCACCTGTATGAGCCCAGTGATCTCTTTCCAGTCGTGGTAAGAGTCGAGATCGAAGCTTGCTATCTTCTTCTCCTTAGATTTCTTCTCTTTCAATGCCGAGAGAGCATTGGAGAAGCTCTTCGTGGTTGCAACTACCCGCAATTTGCTGTCTCTCAATTCCTCGTCACTAGTTGAGGGTGCTGCATCCCACGCGACCGAGCGAGCTACGAACTTTTGACGGCTCGCGTCAAACCTGAATGGTAGCTCGCCGTGCTCATCCCGAAATTCCGTATGTCGATTCTCGATATAGTCAACTGATATGGGCTGTGCGGATGGACAGGGAAAACCGACTTCGATCGGTTGGTGGGCGGACATAGTTCCTTCGAAGTAGCGCAAAACCTACAGCACAGAAGATCCTCGACGTAGGGTCAACAGGAGCGCAACTGAACCGATCGCAAAATGCTACGATAACTCGAAGAGCGCTTCCAAACATCCGGAAATGGCGACCGGCAGATGCCTTGATTTTTGGACAAGGCTGAAGGCTTCAAAGCTGACATGCATGAGCGTATTACCAATGGAACGAGAACGTGACGCACCCATAGCCTTGCAGCTCGCTTCAATTAGGTATTTCCGGTGACTGTGTTCAGCTCAGGCTGCCTGCATTCGATGTGCTGACTATGCGGTAGGCACGTAGCTCCGCGTTGTCGATGCCGGACGCCCTGATTCTACCTGATCTCGTAATAGATATGGTGAGTAATCCATGGATACGTTGCGGCCAACTGCAAGTTCTGTGACTGCCTAGGTGTGAACGCACACGATCTCGGAAGCGCCAAAGCGCGAGTGCGGCGGCAGTACCCACCCGCTAACACCCTGGTACCCTGCAAACCGGCACGTATCATCAGTGCATGCTGCCGCATACGTCGAGATAAGCTGAGTATTACGAGCCGGCTGGACTTCAGCCTGGTTGTTTAAGACGCCTATTTTGCGTGGTTAAGCGAATCTTCGAAGTTTGCCCGGAATTTGCTAAGGCACATTGAGGCGCCTCCCATCGACTGACTGTTTGTGCCCTGACAACTTATGCGGGACTCCCGCTGTTTTACGCATCTTTTGGAGCCCAAGGCTGTCGCAAAATCGAAGGATTTATAATCGGTCAGTGGTTTTTGGGGGCCGACCAAGATAGGTAGGTGTCAGCTCGACCACCCTTGATTGGACCAAACCTAGGAGGGTCCATGCAGGTCGCAAGTGCATGCCGCCTTCTGGACCCCATCTTCTAAAAGTAATCGCATCAATCAATGACCTGGAATACAGCCATGCGTACATATCGGGGTGAGTGTGAAGGATTAGGATGGATATCCCTCATGCGTATCCTGTACACTTTCGTTGAGCCGCAATCAAGTTGTTTGTAAGGTATTTCAAGTGGACGCATGTTCGGCGAGGTAAGCTTGCCCTAGATACTGTCGCGCTTTATGACCTTCCGCGTTGGAGATCACGCATTATACCCAGGGGACCTAACTAATAGATGGTAGAAACGAGCGCAAATCTAGCGAGAGTGCCAACGCTACTATGTCTGGTTCAGAAGATTCCGGGATTGCGCTCTCCATGAGCCATGAGCGCAATACTCCTAGTACGTCGCACCGCTACTGAATCTTGGAAGTTACTGATAACGTGGTAGATGTAGATTCGGCATCGGAAGAGGCCACTGCGACGCTTCCGCGCGAGCCAGACAGTTCCAAGAGCGATCCAGTACCTACCAATATCACCGAGGTCTCCGCGTTACCGGTGCCAGAAATAAGAGCTACTGGGTCACGTCCCCCCAGTATCGAGCCGGGGACAGACCGCGCTGGCAGCCAAATGGACGCATCTGATGCTTCTGAGCCGGAGATCGATGAGGAAAGTGGTACTGATCCCGACTCAGAGACGGATATGTGGGTCCGCAGGCGCGAGGTAATGAAATCGCGCATCAAGCTTGCGCCGAGACGCGTAAAGCAGGTGAACCAATATAACAAGATCTTGGAAGAGAGACTCACGCTTCTGGAAGAGGGAACAGAGCTCTTCGAGAAGAAGCTACGCAGGCTATTGGGAGGCGAGGAGATATCTCGTCCACCATCTCCAGAGGTCAAAGCGAAGAGGCAACTGTTGGAGCCCGAGCTGAAATTCCACCTCTCGAAGGGACTGAAGCATGACTCCGAAACTCGTAGAGTCCACCAAATCGATGTCTTTGTTGGAGAACCAGAAGCACAGAAATCTGACAGGTTTTTACGACGGAAAAAGCAATCTAAAAGCTTGGAGGACAACGACATGGATGATGGGAGGATTGCATCTGACCCAATCTTGGAACGCTCTTCGGCATCCAATGATGAGCGCAGACTTGCGGAGGAAATGGTCAAGGTCAAGAACAAACACTTTCCAAGTCTAATCCTCATCGAGGAAAGGTCAATCACACACCTGTTCCGGAAGTTTCTCACAGGCGACGGTACAGACACGGACATTATGATGCTACGACCCTTCAAGCCTCTACTCCAGAACAGGGAAGAGATACTAAACATCATGTCGGAAGTCGTTACTGCACTGACTAGGATAGTCGATCGCCGTGCAGAAAAAGACGCAGGACCGGCGAGTTGTGTCATAGATCTAGACGAAAGCGCCGAAGCAGTCCAGCCAAACGAAGCTATTCAAGTCACAGATGACGCTCATGACAAGGCTCTGGAGGAGACCGGAGAGAAGGCAGGAGATAATGCAGTGACTGAAGAGGCCTCTGCTCCTGATGCTATCTCAGAAGAGGAGTGGGACACTGTCTTGAAAGAGCTCGAGCTTTACGACGTGGCTAACGGGTGCGAGGGGGAGTACATGGACGGATGGCCAACTCTCTCTGAAGTCGAGAAATCTTTCAAAAGTATCAGGGACCTGTTCGATAATTACCTACTGCCTGGCCATATGGAATTTCGGGAGCGTAAGGCAAAAAAGGTCCGGTTCTGTGACCTGTGGCACCTATTTCACACTGGAGATCTCGTGGTCACAAAGCGATCGACGAATCTAGATGGAACAGAGACTAAAGGTCGATTGGGCATGAGAGTTCTCATGACAGCTGGTGGCAGAAGAGTCATTATGCCAAAACTCCCGGCTCCTGTCTTCCAATCTCCTGTCCACTTGCTTACCTCGACGGACAAAATCGAGCCCATAAACGGCACCAATCCATTCTGTATTTATACGTACTACTTGGATTTCAACGGTTCTAGGCTGGTACCTGTTCGGCGACGAATAGTCATTGCTCCCTATCATGGAGAGCGAAACATCTCGGACCTCGATGTCATCCCCATGGAGTATGCTGCTGGAGTAGCTGACATGCTGAAAGAACGGGGTAAGCGTTTCGTTGAAACAGTCTCCGCTTCTATTGCGCCATACGTGGATTGCAAGGGTCTCGAACTCGTGACCCGTGAGGAGCTCAACGACAAAGTCATCGTTGACATGAAAGGGTATTTTGGCACCAACCCTAGCGATATCCCTTCGTTCCTGGAGCCTGAAGAGCTTGATCTGTCAGAGACCAGCGATTGCCGACAAGGAAAGGAATGTAGCTACTCATGCGTTTCCTGCTATCATCGCAGTCCAGTCGTGCACGATCAAACGACGGATTTGGAAACGTACCAGGAGTACGTTAATGAGAAGCCGGTGTTCAACCCGCTATCAGGCGCGTCAAGTGCCGGTCTTGTAGACCCGTCCGACTTCAGTATCTGTCATTACCGCGTCTTCGCTTACAAGCTGCGTTCGCGGGAGTGGGGTGAGTATTCGATACATCATGAGTAGCAGATTCGTGCTGACAACTAGCAGTGCAAGTAAATGTGCAGGATCTTCAAGCACTACCGGAGAGTGAGAAGGGCGGAGGATTTGACAAGCTCGTCTTATCTGACGACCACAAAAGTATCCTTGAGTCGCAAGTCCGTGAGCACTTTCGGAAGAGAGTATCGCAAGCTACAACCGGAAGCATGGAGAATGACATGGATCTGGTTCGGGGCAAAGGACAAGGCCTCATCATCCTTCTTCACGGTAAATGCTTTTTCTCAAGATTTTCAGCGTCATTATTGACCAGCTTCAGGTGCTCCTGGCGTCGGTAAAACATGCACAGCCGAGTGCATTGCTGATCTGATGGAGAAGCCGCTCTATCCTATCACTTGCGGCGACCTCGGAAGCACGGCAGAAGACGTCGAGAAGAATTTGAAGAAGCATTTCACCCTCGCTAGCCGCTGGGATTGCGTGATGCTGCTAGACGAAGCCGATGTCTTTCTTGCTAGAAGAAAAATGGAGGACCTTCAGCGCAACAGTATCGTGTCGGTGTTCCTCCGCATGTTAGAGTACTACAAAGGTCTACTCTTTCTGACCACTAATCGGGTGGGGACATTTGACGAGGCTTTCACATCTCGGGTGCACATCTCGCTGTTCTGTAAGTTTGTGTCCAATCTGCCACGATGCTTACTCTAATGCTGGTGCCCTAGACCCGGACTTCGACAAGAAAACGACACTCGCAGTGTGGCAGACCTTCATTAATCAGACCGTGCATGTGCTTAAGAGCAGCGGCCGTAGCCATGTCACTATCAATGGAGACGAGATCATCAAGTTTGCCAAGAAGCACTGGAAGGACAGCAAAGACAGCAAGCGGGCACGCTGGAATGGACGTCAGATCCGTAACGCCTTCCACACCGCAGTTGCCATGGCTGAGTTCCGCGCCAGAACCCAAAAGGGTGGTGCAGGCTACGATAACGGTAAGGATGTCGAGATCAGTGTGGGAAGAGTGGAATTCGAAAAGATTGCGAGCACCGCTAGAGAGTTTGATACCTACATGACTGAAACGATGGGTTCAACTTATGAGGCCAAAGCTGATAGGGAAGGACTGAGGAAAGAGCAGAAGAAGGAGGAAGAGAAAGTAAGAAAGAACAAGAAGAAGAATAAGCAGTCTAAGTCGAAGAAGGAAAGCGACTCGGACTCTTCAGAGAGTGAGAGTGAGGATGACGATGATGCGAAGAAGAAAAAGAAGAAGAAGAAGCCCTCCAAATCGAAGAAGCGAAGCGACTCAAGCTCAGGTGGCGAGAGTGAGGACGACGATGACTCTGATAGTGATTAGTAGGCTGGGAGATGGGACTCAACTCTGGACACTCTTTTGTATCATGACTCCCTTAATGTCAGTTGGTTTTCTTCGCATTACATGTCGCACCTCATGAATAGAATGAACGATCGATGTATGGTCTTGCGCAATGATGTCGATGAAAGGAGGATATGCCTATGCGCGTCGGGGCTTGTGTGCTTGGGGCGTGGTCCTAGCGTCCCACGTCATCTCTCCCGCCTGCCGAGGCATCTCGCCGCTCGCGCACCTCCAGTGCATCATCTACATTGTACAACCACCCATCACATCACACCCCGTATGAACGATATTCAGAATGCATTAGATTATGCCATTATCGCGACGCTATATACGCCTACGCAGAGCTAGTAGCTGAGGCGACAGGCAGGCTAACTGGCATGGGAGTACCGGAAGCCGAAGCTGTTGACGATAAGCCGCCGCCACTGCCACCACCACCACCATTCTTCTTCTGGACGACCGCGGATACGACTTGACCAGCGGTGTTGGTCACGATGTCGACGAGCGCGTTGAGAGGCTCGTAGTTGAAGGTCTTCTGTGTCATTCCCTGGCCAACCTGCTTTGCGCTTCCAGCGACTTCGGTCATGTTGAGCTGCGCGACGGGTTAGTGGTCGATATCTATCACGGTATATGAAGCTGCTTACCTTGAAGTTTCCGACAATCTGCTGAAGGGCGTCTCCGCCGCTTCCTACGACCTCTTGGACGATGTTACCGAGGTTGTCGACCAAGAAGTTGAGAGTCTTTCCGTTTTGCGTAATCGATCCAAGCTATATGCTGTTAGTTGGTTTCTGACATTGAGCCATTCGGATACGTACAAGGCCGTCGACTGCACCGATCACTTCTCCGACCAAGTTGGTGACGTTTCCGATCAAACCGATCAGGAGAGGGTTCAGGTCCAAAGAGTCAAAGACACGCTCAACGATAGAGACCAGGTTGCCCAATCGTACAATCAACTCGAGTTCAACATCTACATCAGCAATAGTGATGTTGACCTTCTCCACGGCGACCTGGACACCAGCATTGATCTGAACGAGACCGGCGACCTTGGCGTTGAGGTTAAGATCTGCCTGAAGCTTCTCGACACCTAGTTCGATCCTTCCAACGTGCAGTTCGGGGACGCGGAGAAGCACATCCGGAGGCGACGATCCAGTAGGCGCAACCTCTGGCGGTCTGGTAGTAGTTCCGTTGCCTTGCGGCGGGGTGCTGCTTGTAGGTGCCGGGGTCGAAGGAGCTCCAGATTCCGATTGCGCAGAAATGAGTGTAGCGAAAGTAAGGAAAATGCTGATGAGCAGTAGGCGGATAGAGAACGACATGTTGGCGTGAGCGGCGACGACAGCAACAACAACGGCAATAGTAACGAGCGAGACAGCCGTACAAGTATCAGCAAACCACGACCCACGTACCGGTTATAGCGAAGGAATCCCGTTGCAAATCAGCGGGCACGGCAATCATGCACATGGAGTATTGCAAGGATTCCCATAATGGTAATTTCGGGTAAAGCCCCCTATGCAGCCGCGCAGGGGTTCCTACAAGGCTGGATCGCACCATCTGGAGCAGTGCTAAGGCATGAACATGTAGAAATCCTGATTCCGCATACGAACTGCCGGTTTTCTGGATTTTCTATCGAATCGCAGGTGTGGGAATGGATCTCCTTAATTTCCGTTTTTCTTGCTAGCGTAGGTGGATGACGGGTAATGGAAGATGGTGCTATGCACATGATCCTTGTAAGCAACTCACTACTACTCCACCCGATGGTAGTGTTAACCGTTGCGCCCGCCCGTCTTTCTTGTCGATTGACGACATCCATTGAGTTGTTGCTTCCTGTCCTTCGCTCTTTGTTTAGCAGCACGTCAGCTTTCGGCCAGTCTCTCTTTCAGTACCAGTCAAGATGTTGTCGATACTTCCTACCATCACACTCCTTTCGCTGCCTTTCCTCGCTGTCTGCCAATCTGCATCCGATGGCTACAGTGGCTACAAGCTCGATGTGCGAGATGATGGCGACCCAGCCGCCGTCCTCTACGAAACAGAAATCACATCTTCATCCAACATCTCCGCCTTGAGCCCGGTCCCAGACGTTCTTCTCAACGCGTCCGTCCATGTCGGCGAGATCTTCATCGGCGTCGACAACCTGACCGCAAAGATCAACCTCGACGCCCAGGTCCTCCAGTTGCTGCAGTTCAACGCCGGAGTAGACCTATCCATCGACAAAGTCACCCTCCTAATTCAAAACGTAACAGCAAAAGTCTACCTCGAAGCCCGTCTGGGTAATCTCGTCAACATGGTCAGCGACGTCCTCGACAGCATCGATCTGAACCCCGTGATCGCCGAGCTCGGAAACGGCCTTGGCTCCATCATCAACGACACTGCTGGTCTCGTTGGCGACGTCGCCGGTGGCCTTACTGGAGGCGGTAATGACACCTCCGCGCAAGCCAAAGCCAAACGCGACCTCGACTTCCACCAATGGGATCTCCGCAACAATATCCTTTACTCCATCAACAACTTCGAAGGCAACACCAACAAACGCCGTGTCCTGGCCCAAAACGGCGATATCGTAGAGCAAATCCTTGATAACTCTGGTACCGTCTCCTCGACTAATGTTGTGGGCGATTACCTCAAGAGCATGAGATTCAACGGGTTCAACGAGAGTGTGACCTACAAGGGCGAGGAGGCCTGGGAGGAGGAGTATGTGTACGAGCCTTTTATGGGTCTGTACTCTATTTCTGGTGTGTTCAAGAGTAAGAGCAATGGAGAGGTCGTTGGTACGCAACTTTTGGCTGAGGCGAGAGGGGGTGGGAGCGCGAGTATTGGGAATGAGAAGGCGTAGGTCTTTTGATACCCACTAGCACATTTATTCAGAGTGTTTTGCGAATGGAATATGTAATGTCTGAACTCTTGTGCTGCTGTGCTTTCCATGCATACCCATCTAGTGATTCTCCCACATCAATCTCTCCCAATCGCGTCTTTGCTTTTCCTATGCACGCACGCCTTTCTCATCCCGCTCTGCATACATAAAGCAAAACTAGCACCAGCCATCGCCAAGTATTGGGAAACCCAACGGTTAAATTCCCATGAACAATCGCGTGGTCCGTTTCACCCAGGCGTCCGTGCGAGCACGCAATGTTCAGGAACCGAGATTTGACATGCACCATGCAGTCGGATATGCCATGAATAGGCCTGTGGGCCTAACGGTCGAGATCTGTGATCTGAGCTTTTGGATCGACGATGATGTCACGGGGGACAGGAGTCATGGACTAATGCGATCTTATTCCGTGAGATATGGCGGAGTGTGAGCATGGAAGATGTTGACGGAGATGCAGTGTTTAGTGCAGCATAAATGGTTTGCTTCGGCCAAAGCGATGGATGACGAGAAAGGTAAGAGATGAGGGACGGATGGGACGCGAGAAGCGCGCAAAGGTTGGAACTTCATAAAGTGCTTCATTGTTGCCTGCGTTCATTCGCCGTTAAAACGCACCTAACGCCATGCCATGCTGTTGCTGTGAGATGAGATGAGAGTTTTCCGTACCAACCCCTAACGCCACATAATGCTCAAGACGATTTGTTTCCAACTCTTCGTGCAGCACCCTGATCCTCCCTACCCCTCGAGCCTACCCATCATATTCTTCCTAACCTTAGTGTTGACCACCCCTCCCACTCCAAACGCCGGCACAATCCTACAAATCCTCGCCGCAGCACTCTTCGCCCAATCCCTCAGCACCCTTCCTGCCCTGCCATCCACACCACCAACCCTAGCATCAGGCCTATTGTACAAATCCAATCCGAGTAAATGCAACGGCGTGCTCACAAGCTGCACAGCAGCAGGCGTAACAAATTGCGCAACACTCAGCGCACCAACATATTTCTTGACCTCCGTGCCCATGCGCTCGTCTACCTTGGGCGCAAGCAGCGGTGGCAAGTTGAACGAAGCGAAAATAGTAAGGCAGTCGCGGACGGTGAATAGCGCGAATGTGGGCAGAGGAACAGGCCGAGGCGAACTCCCTGGTGCAGCGAAGAGCCGGGTGAACTGATTGTCTTTATACAGACACAGTGCCAAATTTGTTGTGCTTGTAGCGAGGAACTTGCTTGTACCGCTCGTTTGCTCTTGTAAACCTTGCGTGGGCTTAACCGTCGCGGACGCCGTGTCGATGCTGTTGGCGGTAAAGTATGTACCGAAGTATAGACTGAAGATGAGGACGAAGGGTTTGCTGCCGAGGAAGCGGTGCGGTTTCGCGAGGAGTTCGATTGCGCTCTTTTTCAGACTCTCGCCGAGACTGTTACGCCCGCTGGCATTTTCGATTATGCCTTTGTCGATCATGGTTATGATGGGTGCGACGAGTATGCCTGCGGAGCCGGCGGAGAGGGCGTCGACGCCGATGCGTAGACCGAGTTTGGACGTGTTCCATTCGTGGGATGTTTCGTTCGAGGTGCTGGGTTTGCGCATCGTGGGGAGCGGTAGGTTTGGCTTGGGGATCGCGATGGAGGGTGTTGCGACTTTGGGTACGGTTGTTTGGTCTCTGTGCTCGTTGGCTGTGTGCGGTTTCATACCGCTGGCTTGTTCTTCCCCCATTGCAGCTTCCTCCGGTGACTGATAAACTCTCTCTTTGTGTGCTGCATGGAATGCTTGGACTTTTGACGGTGCTGTGTTCGCGGGCGCTTCACGCTTTACGACTCTTTCGGCAGTTTGCCCGCGATTTGGACCAGGGCGACAGAGGTGTCGTAAGTGTCAACACAGGACAGGCTGTTGTTGAGGGATTTGATACCAGCCGCTGACGAAGATATCGGAGTTTACCTGAAAGTTCGCCGGCGAACAAACACCGACGTCGGAGCAAGAGCCGCCGAACGGGTATCACGCGCATTGATTGGTGCACGTCATCGGGCCCTGCATCGTTCGTCGCTCATAGCCATGTTCACGATGGGTAGCATCGGCTGAGACATGTGGGTGTTTACTGCATGGCATGAGGAATTAAATGCAGGGTCCAGCGTGGGGAGCTGGCCACGACTGACGATCCGGGGTATGGTGGGTTGGGACACAACACTTGCTCTCTCGCTAGGTGCACAGTCTGAGTACGTGATGACGGAAAGTTCTTGAGGAACTGATAACTGAAGGGCAGAATTCATTTGTCAAAATTTATCGGACAAGTCATGATAACTTCCTTTTTGCAACCAGGGCATGCCTACTCAACAAGCAACTCACGACTCATGCTGTTTCTGTCTCCCGGGTCGGTAGGCTATCGCGGCTGCGAGACGAGCAACTTAGCCGAAGCCAGTTTCCGAAGAATACCGATGTCGTAAGTATCTAGTTGATGGCGTCAACTAGCGACCGGTGATGTGTACTGGGAATGCGGAGATGGGGTGAGGAGTGGAGGCGGTGTGAGATAGCTGTAATAGAGCGACCAGGTGATGCGCATGCGAAGGTCGGTCTGACCCTTGACTAGTGTGGTAGTCATGAACATAGTATTCGCTTCGAAAGCTATCTTAGTCTTCCCAACAATTCGCTTGCATGTGATGCGCCTAAACTCCAATACACCCTAGGAACCCCGCAAGGGACTGTTGTCTGTATCTCAATTCCTCAGGGCACGCAGCCTCTCGGTAAATGCCTCTTCTTCTTGCTCAGTGGGCCCAACCTTCGTCTTTGCCGGTGTGGCTTCTTGGAGATCTTGTTGTAGATCTACGCCTGCCTTGTCTGCCGCCTGCGCCATCAGACGGTCTACATCCTCTTGTGGTGTGCCGACTGCGGTGGCGGAGGAGGTGATATCCTGGTAAAGTTCGGTGGCGGAGTCTACGTTCTCGAACTGCTTTTCGAAATCGACCATGACGGAGGCAATCTAGGTGTTGTCAGCGCTGTCCTGATCCCAATAGCTGTGGATGTCGCATACCCTCTCAGGACTCATAGACTTCATAGCCACGTCTAGACTGCGGTTGACCTTCATCATGTTGCCTGTAATCTGTCGCATCGTGACGGCGGTTTGTACGCGGCCTGCGACGGCATCGACGCGCGAGGCGAGTTGTAGCAGGTTGAGCTTCTCATTCTGCTTGCGGATGGCGTTTCCGGCGTATATGCGGGCGATGTCGTTGTGGCCCTGCTTCATAGCCTGAGATGGTGTTACTACGCGTTCTTGCGCTGAAAAGACATGATACCAACCTTTTCCAGCTTGGTCTTCTCAGCCTGCTCCTCCTTGCCAGCTTTGAGCGCCTGCCTGTTCAGCGACTTGGCCGTGAACTGAGGGGGGTCAGCGTATGGTTAGTCAGCGCCAGCACACAGTGACTGACCTTGAGGTTAAAAAGCGCATTCTCGAGACCCGACATGGCGTATAGTTCGGAGGGTATGGTTTGTGGAGCTGTGCTATGGGTAGTGGTTCGGGAGATAGGCGGTAGTGGGCAGCGCTGTGGTGGGATGCGGCTACTGGCCACGCGGGGTGTGGGCCCAACCCCGACGTCATTGGCCGTGAAACACGGGCGCGCTTCTTGTTCTCGGCGCGCATTCACAAAGAAAAGAAGTGAGGAAATGGACTACAGTGGTTGTCGTTGGTGACACGTTCGATCTCGTGTCGCAGCCTCATGGGCTTTCATCGCCTTTGAATAACGCCTAAATCTATGCTGAAAACATGGTGCATATGTGCCTGCCCGCACCCAGAATGCCTTTGATGTGTCCCTAATCTAAGCCAAACGCCTGCCTCGCGCCTTCGCAATGCCCACGTAACGCCGTGCAACTCGAGCCATTATTCGTACAAGTCGTCCATGAGAGAAGACATCACTGCGCGGGTGGCGCGTTGAACTTGCTCGTTGCGTTCTTGAATAGCTCTTCTTGCGCAGCGATGAGCTGCTCCTCGGTCATGCCGCTCTGCTCGATCTTGGTCTGCTTCTTTTCGCGATTCTGCCCCGCGTTAGCTGGTGGTCGCGTCACATGCGCCGTCGCAAACGTACCTGCTGCTGCTTCTTGTAGTCTTGCGCCACCTCGAGAATGGCTGGGACGTAGTCGCCAAAATCTAGCTCTTCCAGGGCAGCCTTGACATGTTCGCAGGCTATTGTCTTTTTCGCGTCCTTTTCGGCGATCTCGTTGGCTTCGGAGGAGATGAGGGTGATGAACTCAACGCAGCACTCGATTAGGAGGTCGCGCGAATCCTTTGCAAAGGTCATGCCAGGCTCGCTGGCCAGGATGTCTTGGACAATCTTTTGGACGGTCGCTGGCGCGTATTAGCATTTACGGGGGATGCGAGTCTAGAAATGCCGACCTTTGGGCAGCGACAGGTCGTCGTTGCCGCCGAATTCGCGGTCAGACATGGTGAGTGGATGCGCGGCAGCGTGTGGTGTTGGCTTTGAGCTTCGGTACTGCGCGTGGTTGCAGCCCTGCTAAGTAAGAAATGCAGAGAGGCCGGGGCACGGGCCGGCTGTTTGGCCGAAGACCCTTTGCCTAGGTATCTGGCATCATCGAGCGTTCACTGTGTAACCACGGCAGTCACCCAAAATACAGCCATGATGCACGAGGCTTACTGGGTAACGCGAGTTTGCGAAGAGTGATGTGTGTCTCTACCAAATCGCGCCCCGACGTTCCCCATTTTTATCTTATCCGCGTCATATCTTCCAAAAGGAGCAGACGTACAGCTTACTAACAGATCTAGGTGCAACCAGCAACAAAGGATATAGAGTTCTTCCTATGGACATGCTGGGCTGTGTTTGCTCGAGTCAGCCGCAGCCTTCACATGCATCCAGTCACGGTACCGGTGTTGCTCGATAGCGACAGTGTATCCAGGGCGGCGGGCGCTATCGCAGTGCTATCGGGCCATATGTCGCTAACGTCGCAGTGGCATCACGGGTGGATCGTTGAGGCTTTTCTTCAAACGACAGGCTTGGAGCTTGATGCAGGCGCTGGCTTGAGCATTGATGTGAGGGTATTCGTGCTCCACCGGCGACGGGCGTGTGGAGGCGGTGATTGGCAGTGGTTGGGTCGCGTTCCGAGATCTTAGCCAGGGACTGTATCTCTTCCCGGCCGGTTTGGGCGATGCCGGCCCAGTGGCATGTCGGCAGAAGCAGAGGCAGTGGACCACTACGTCAGCGCGTTGCACCTGCTTGGCGCACACAAATGCATGGCCGCGCGAAGTGTGGTTTTGGTTGACCTGGTCATGCTGCTCGCCGAGACAGATGACAGTGGCGGTGAAAACCGGAGGAGCCTAGGGGACTGGAGGCGGCGCTGCTAGGTCGAGGGATGGTGCAATGCAATCGCGTTGAGAGGGATTGATACATAGCAAGGCCCGCAGTGAATTCCAGCGACAGTCAAGTCAGTGAGCTACACGGCGCCTGCCTATCTCGCCTGCCGGTGACGCTGCTATCATCCTCGAGTCGACGCCTACTGCTGCAGCGCCCCAGAGCTCCCACGGTCCCAGAGTACACGTCTACCCAGTACCGCTGTACACCGCCCGCAGCCCGCGCGCCTCAAGCCTGGAAGGACTCGGACTGCCTGCCCCGTTAAAGTCCTAGAGCAGAGTTTTCGCACAGTCGTTGCAGTGCGCTTGTTTAGGGCTAAGGCCGCTCGGAGCAGCCAGCCAGGACCCAAGTGATTATTATGACTTCACGCCCAACTGCGGACCCGGCAGACAGCTCGCTCTCGACCTCCCCCCAAAGCGACACGTACTCCAGCAGCCCGTCGCGCGCCAGCCTCAAGGAGACCGTCAAGATTGCTTCCACCCAAGGCCCCGCTGTCGATGCCAGCCAGCAACGTCCCGGACTAGTCTCTCGCGCCTCGGAGAGTTCAACCAGGACCATTCGACCCCGCCATCATCTACGCAACAAGAGCAGCAGTGTTGTTCCCACCGTCTCCACGCTCAACGTCGGCACCGCGCCCTCGACCCGCCAGTCCAAGTCGCACCCAAAATCAAACACCATGGCCCAGCACACCACGGGCACCTCGTCTGGCGCCGCCGACCTGCTTAGACAGGCCATGACACGGTAAGCGCATACTGACTGTCATGGTGATGCACCGCATTGCCACGCACCACACCACATCATCGCTTAGCTTGCAGCTGTGCAGAGTCCTGACGACGTGCACCCTCGTTCCTTCCCTACATTTTCTCTCACCACTCTCACCTTCCCATACTCCCACACTCACCGCCACTTTCCTGATGCCCTCGTCATCACTGCTAACGCCGCACAGAGCCACCAACGACAGCAACGAAGACGGACACGACCAGATCGGCTCCACCAGCTCCACGCCACCGGGTGCCACGACACCCAAGCCCGACCCGACGGACAAGCGACTGCCGGGTATTCTGCACAGTTACTTTGGCCAGGTTCGTGATTCTCTTATGCCCTCGCGGAAGTCCTCCTCCACGGTCAACCCCTCCCCCGCACCCGTCACTTCTCAGGTCTCGGACCCCCGAGAGAAGGAGCAAGAGTCAACCACCCACCCCAGCATGCTGCCCAGCCCCGCCCCCAGTGCCTCTTCCCGAACTCCCTCAACCTCGCAGTTGGCTGGTGAAGCGGAGAAGCTAACGCAAGGCGATTTTGCGCCGTTGCAACAGGCTACACCTCCCCAGACACCGCGCACCCGCTCCCAAGAAGCAAAGCCCGTGCCCTCGAATCTATCCCGCACCTCAAATGCGTCCGACGAATCCAAGGAGAGCAAGACGGCTCCCGTAGTGGCGCCCAAGGGCAAGCTCTCAGTCACAATCTCCGAGGGACGGGGTCTGCGGCCCAGCACAGACCCCTACGTTGTCTGCCAGTTCCAATGGGCTGAGTACATCTCAGACGGGCCCAGGCACGATGAATCGAAGCGACCGCCCATGCAGATGAAGCGAACCGAGAGCCAGATGGGCACTCCAATGGCCATTCCTATGAAGAGCCGACAGAGCAGCAACAGCGGCCACAGCTCAGATCCCAGGGAGAACGGCTCCCTGGAGGAAGTGACGAGCCCCAAGTGGGAGCACGAAGCCATGTTGTGAGTAGCTCCTTCTCTTCACCGTGTGGTGATGCTGACAATCGTAGTGACGTTGTGGGCGACCATGCCGAAATCGACGTCTCCGTTTACGACCGCGCCAACGGCGAGGCTTTCCTCGGCCACGTCCGCTTCTGCCCAAACCTCGTCGAATACAGCGAGCCATACGACGGCTGGTTCCCGCTAGAGCCCCGAGAGGGCGAGGGAGGTGTTGTTACCGGAGAGATTCACCTGAAGCTCAACTTCCAAAAGGTCGAGAAGAAGCACTACGGTCCCGAAGACTTTGAGATTCTCAAGCTCATCGGAAAGGGCACATTCGGCCAGGTCTTCCAAGTACGTAAGCGGGACACTCGCCGCATCTACGCCATGAAGGTGCTTTCGAAGAAGGTCATCGTGCAGAAGAAGGAGGTGGCACACACACTGGGAGAACGCAACATCCTCGTCCGAACGGCCATGGCTGATTCGGCATTCATCGTTGGACTCAAGTTCTCTTTCCAGACACCCTCAGATCTATACTTCGTTACTGACTACATGTCGGGAGGCGAACTCTTCTGGCATCTCCAGAGGGAAGGCCGCTTCCAGGAGGGTCGTGCCAAGTTCTACATTGCAGAGCTTATCCTTGCCCTGCAACATCTGCACGAGCACAACATCGTGTATCGCGATCTCAAGCCCGAGAACATCCTCTTGGACGCCAATGGCCACATCGCCCTTTGTGACTTCGGTCTGTCCAAGGCTAACCTCACCGAGAACGCCACCACCAACACATTCTGCGGAACCACAGAGTACCTCGCACCCGAGGTCCTTCTGGACGAACACGGTTACACCAAGATGGTCGATTTCTGGTCGCTCGGTGTGCTAGTCTTCGAGATGTGCTGTGGATGGAGTCCTTTCTACGCAGAAGACACCCAGCAAATGTACAAGAACATCGCGTTCGGAAAGGTCAGGTTCCCCCGGGACGCCCTCAGCACTGAAGGTAGGAATTTCGTCAAGGGACTTCTCAACAGGAACCCCAAGCACAGGCTTGGTGCCACACGCGATGCCGAGGAGCTCAAGGCTCACCCCTTCTTTGCCGACATCGACTGGGAGGCTCTGGGCAAGAAGAACGTGGTACCGCCATTCAAGCCCAAGCTCAAGGGAGAGCTCGACGTTTCCAACTTCGACCCCGAGTTTACTAATGCTCTCAACGGTGCTGGCTCTTTGAACGCCCGCGCGGCGGCCCTGGCCTCCGGAGTCAACCCCGCATCCACGCCACTGTCACCGACTATGCAAGCAAACTTTGCTGGCTTCACCTTTACCGACCAGAGTACAATGGAGCAGCAATTCGGAAACGACAGACAAAGGACCGACGCCCTGGAGCGAATGGACGAGGATGAGACGGACGAAGTCAACTGGGACCGACCTGCTGGACGCGGAGATAGGATGTCCGGTATCGTTCCCAGCAATGAGCACGACGTCTTCAACCAAGGCCAATTCGATGTATGATGAGCACATGCTCATACACGCAGCCTGCTCTTCTATACCTAGGTTCCTCCAGGACCTGACAAAAGTTTCTGCTTTGTTCTATCTTACCGGTACATGGCGGTACTATTCGTATAGTCTTTTCTTGGATACCCGGAGCCTACCACACAGGACTTGGACTGCGTTCAAGTCCTTCACTAATTTGCCCCATCGGTTGCTGCTGTCACGACCTCACGCATGGTCATTACGACACAGCCTATGCCGACAAGGACCTGACACAGCGTCCGACTGATTACGATTACAAGATTTCCCAGAATGAGTTCAAGTTGCTGCGGTCTCCCACGCTACAGTAAACACGATGTTTTCTTTGCTGGGCTATGGGTTTGCATTGCGCTGGTGCATTGCTTTCGCTTTTTCATCCAATGTGGGAGTTCTTAATGGCACTATGTCGAGTTCAGGCTGTTTCTTCCCGTTCTTTGTGCATTATGCGCGCGTATCTGCACGGGTTTTCCTCTTTTCTTCTTTCTGCGAGTTCAACATATATCTAACGACATGGATTCATACGCATCGTTATATCGAGGGGATATGGATAGTGGTATGATGGATATGGGCGAGCCTTTTTGTACATAAAGATATGAGACATCAAGTTTACTTGTTCACGTCGTCGTTCTGGTCTGGCACTCGTGCTGTTGATGTCACAAACGCGTCTCTGCGCGTTTTCTTGTTCATTCTATGCTAACCACCTCTTACCCGCTGTCGCTTCCTCGGGTTCATCCCACACCTCCATCATATCCAACCACTCCAGTGCGAACGCACCCACAATCCTCGCCCAATCCCTCACCGTCGCCCCATCCAAATGCTCTCCATCATCCTCCATCGTGTGCCACACACCCGGAAACGGACTAGGTATCACATGCAATATCTCCACGCCCTTTGCCATAAACGGCAGATGGTCATCCGAAATCCCCCCATGCCCCATTGTCCCATTTACATCTGGTAAGAAGGGTGTGGAAGGAGATGATTCCAGCAGGTTCAAACTGCGCAGTCGGGACTCGACGGTGGAGAGGTGTACATACGCCCAATGGGTGGTGGGGAAGTAGGATGGGACGCGTGGGTCTGCGGAACCGAGCAGGTCAAGGAGAAGGAAGAGGCTGATTTGCGAGAGGGGAGTGCGGTTCTGGTAGAATTTTGAGGCGGGGGATGGGGGGTTGAAGGTCGTGGACCAGTGCGTTGCTAGGGCCCTATATATTCTTGTCAGTATACTATTCCATGTCTTTCCTTCTTTCCCCGATATGAATTGATAGGCATTGAGGAGGGAGAAACGTACCTCGCGCCATAGAGTGAATCACTATCACTCCACGTCTCAAACGCCTCCTCGCCGTCTAAAAACACTATCTGGATACCCATATCCATGTCCACGTCCCCGCCCTCTCCTAACGCGCTCATCTCCTCGTACATCCGCGTTATATGTGGATCCAGCACGCGTGCTACATACATCAACATAGCGCACGGCGCCGCACTATCCGTCGCCCCAATAAACCCATCCGGATGTAATTTACTGTCATAATGCGCAACAAGCGTGAGCAAGTTCGCTTGTCCCGGTGCGACCCAAGGCGGTTCTCTCCGCGCGATCAAATTCGCGAAGGGGAGGGGTAACTTGGATGTGGGGGTCACGGAGGTGCTGTTTTGCCAGGTTAGGTTCCAGGCTGGTAACTCCTTTGTGAAGTAGGCGTAGAGATGGTGTTGGGCGAGGGTTTGGCCTGGTGTGCCGGGGACGCGCGGGATGAGCAATGGGGAGAGGAGCGTGCTGTCTAATGCGTCGAGGGTGTTGTTGGGGGAGGGGAGGGCGCGGAGGAAGGCGTCCGAGAGCGGTTTGTAGGCACGTGTTGGGGTGAGGGTGAGGAGGAGGGGGAGGAGCGTGGTGGGTAGCGTGAGGAGCATCGTGGGTGGTGGGTGGTGGGTGGTGGGTGTCGATGGAGGAGCGCGTGTGGTTCGTTGTGTTGTGTACCAGAGGCTGTGTCTGGACGTCGAATATGGCGTAGAATCGCGTCGTCTCGCTCGCGGGCGCAGAACTGGGAGCTGTCTTCGAGGTCCCAACAAAGACTGAGTAACCGTACGAGATCGAACCGCAAAGGATATGGAGACGAACAGCTAAGGTCCCTCCTTCTAAAGATGCCAGCCTCTCTTTCTCGTTCTCCTCAGTCCCCTTCCCGTTTCATCTCTCTCCCACAGTCTCGAGTGAAACGTTTGCGCAAGTTGGCCCTACTCCATCAGGCAAACACCGAAGAGCCATGAAGCGCGGAGCTGAGCCATCGTGTTGCGTTGCGTGCGTCAGTTCGGGTCCCTGACGGGGCCATGGACGCGGGATCCCTGTCGCGCACGTGAGCTGCACGTTCATCTTATCTGATTGATTGTGAGTCCGGATGGGGAAGTGCTGTGGTGACGGAGGATCTAGCCGTTCTGGGCGGGGTCGATGGTATGCATGTTAGATGTCTAATCAAAGAGCTCAAGACGGTATGCGCTTAGGTTTGGACTTGGTACAGTTGATATATACTCATGTTCATATGATCGCTACACGTCCAACGTCTCCGGTCAAGTAAATACTACCCTACAACTTCGCCTTTCCCCCCTCACACTTCACCAACGCCCGCCCATTCGTAAGGACCGTCTTCCCGCCCTCAACCTTGACCACAAACCTCACCTCCTCGAACCCATCCTGATCGCGATCCCCCGTCCTCCACATCTCCGTAATCAGTTTATCACCCGGCTTGACCGGCGCCGCGAACCTCGCCTGGAACTCCTTGAGGTTCTCAGGCTTGGATGCACCGAACGCCTTCAGGATAGCATGCGCAGACATGTTCCATGAGAACAGGCCGTGGATGATGGGGCCGCCGAAACCCATTTTCTTGCCTGGCTCCGGGTCCGCGTGCAGCGGGTTGTAGTCGCCATTCAGGCGGTAGAGGTGGGCGGTTTCCATGGTGGTTTGGTGGATGTGTGTGCTATCGGGAGCGCGGGACGGCGGGGGGTAGTTTGGTTGCTTGGGGCCTGTTGTGCGTTAGTCTTATGTTACACTGTCGTGCCTACTCCATTACAAGCACGGCGAGAGTTCAAGGAGAAGGAAAAGACATACCCTTCGGACCACCCCAACCACCCTGACCAACATAGAAGCCACTGCCAACAGCTCTACTATACGTCTCCCCCGTCTTCGCATCAACAAGCCTGTTCTCCGTCTCGACAACGGTTGCCTTGCCCTTATCGTATACACCCAGCACCTTGCTTCTGATCTCGAACTTGCGGCCTTCGCTGCTCACGGGCAGTGGCTTGAAGAATTGTATCTTGCGCTCGCCGTCGAGGACGTGCTTGGTGTCGAACTTGGGGACGCCTTCGATGGGCTCGGCATTGCTGCGCGCGTAGAAGTCGATGACTTCTTGGTCTGTGTGCTTGAAGGGGAGGATGATGGGGTAGGTTGGGAAGGCCGCGAAGGATGGGTGCAGTTCCTGGGGGTGGTGTTAGAGGTGTTGGATAGCTCGGGGGATTGCGCTTGGGATGTATGGTTCAGGCGTGTGAGAGCTGTGATGGAGTTGCTTACGTAGAGGAAGTGCAGCTCATCCGGGTAGGTTGCGCCAATGCTGTTCGCGAAAAGCAGGAGATCGCGCTTGAGCCAGGACACCTCATACGAGGGAAACTCGAAGCCGACGCCGGGACCTAGTTCTTTGCCCATGATGAGATTGAGGATGGTTACACGATGTGTTTGGTATGAAAGTTTTGCGATCAACGATGCGCAGTTGCAATGCTTGAATCAAGGAAAAAGAAGCTCAAGCGTTGTCGTAAGCTTCAAGGTTCGCAGCGGGGCGGTAATCGCGACGCGGAGCTGAAGTTTGAGCCGAGGTACGATTCGTTCATCCATGGTCAAGACGAGAAACCCCCCAAATGGATTAGTATACATCAACCCTCTTCAAAGTAGATGAAAATGAGTCTTGAAATTCGGCGCCGATGTCGGTATGGATAAGACTTTTACCTCGTTGTGGGACCATGGTAATGTTGTAAACATCGCATTAGTCTATCTACAGGGTCGATGCCTCGTTCAGAAGCCAATATTAAGATGGCACGACTCTTGTCATGCCACCATGCAGATCTAGACAATATACATGTGATCCTTCCCATCCCTATCATCCATCGTAAATGTTCGTGTACCACGACTCCCACAACCCTGCGGTCGGCAAAGTGGGGCCACTGTCCCATACGCCAAGTGTGAAATAATGCAACCTTTTGAGTCTAAGCTGAATCATGGAGATGACTCCCGCAAATGCTCAGAATGCAAGCGAAGGAAGAAATGAAGTTGTGGTGGGTATAATGCGGCAGACAAGGCGTCTACTGCTTGACTTCGTAGGAGCGGCGGAACATGCCGTCGACGCCGGTGAGGTAGTAGGTGCCGGGAACGATGGTGTCAACGCTTCCCTTGGGGGTGAAGTCCTTCTGGAGGTGAGCCTGCTCACGGAGGTTGCACATCTAGTAGAAATGTTAGCGGTTTGTGCTGTGGCATTCTAGATCTCAAGGACTTACCTCGTCGTAAACCTCAGGGGCGACTACACGCCTCTTCTCGAGACGGTTTTGGATGTCGAGCTGCTTAGCAATGTTCTCGGTGCTACCCTTGACGGTGAAGGAGAACAGAGACGAGGCCAGACCACTTCCGTAGCTGAACATACCAATGCGCTTGCCCTCGAGGTCCTGGCTGCTGATGTTGGCGAGCAAGCTGCACAAGCTACCGTAGACACTGCCGCAGTACATGTTACCGCACTGGGTTGGGACCTGGATGCTGGGCTGGACGCGAGACGCGTAGCGCTTCTTAGCGAGACCCATGAAGGTCTTCTCTACGGTCTTGTCGCTGACAGAGGTGGCGTAGTCCATGTCGCGAAGCTCAGCGGGAACCTCGGCGAAGATGGGGTTGGAGGGGTTGGCGAGGTAGTCGTTGTAGAGCAGACGCGCGTACGACTTGGCGACGAGCTTGCAGGTAGGTGCGTGGAAGGCCATGTAGTCGAAGCGGTCGAGAGCAGTCTCGAGCTCGCTGCTGCCATTCACACCGTTTCCATTTTGTTGCGACTTGAGGGTCTTCTCGCGCTCGTTGTAGGCCTTGTAGCAGGCGTCGACAGCCTCGGTGTAGCAGCGGACGGAGAAGTGGCCGTCGACGACGGGGTACTCGCTGGTGAAGTCGGGCTTGTAGAAGTCGTAGGCGTGCCTGATGTAGGAACCACGCTGGCCAGCGTCCATGACTATGGGCGCGTTGGGGCCAATGAGCATGGCGACACATCCAGCGCCACCAGTCGGGCGGGCGTTGCCCTTCTTGTACAGCGCAATGTCTCCAGCGACCACGACGGCGTCACGGCCGTCCCAGGCCGACGACTCCATCCAGTTGACGGAGTTGAAGAGGGCGTTGGTTCCTCCGTAGCAGGCGTTGACAGTGTCAACACCCTCGATGTTGTAGTTGCCAGACTCCTCGAAGAGCTGCATGAGCACAGACTTGACCGACTTGGACTTGTCGAGCAGCGTCTCGGTGCCGACTTCGAGGCGGCCAATGCTCTTGGGGTCGACATTGTACTTCTTGAAGAGCGAGGTGACGGTGGTCAGGGCGAGCGAGTAGATGTCTGGGTGGAGCACCTGTCAGTTCCTCTTCTGGGTACACGGGGTCGCGCGAGCAGAAAATCTTGGACTCACCCTCACGGTCGTCGCAGAAGGACATCTTGGTCTGGCCGAGGCCGATGGTGTATTTGCCCTGGGAGACGCCATCGAACTTCTCAAGCTCGGCCTGGTCAACGCACTGTGGGCAAGTTGTTAGTGCGTGTTGGTGTAGAGGGCGTAGTCGCAGCGGGCGCATGTGCATTGGGACGGCGACACCGCCCACGGCAGCAACAACGTACCTGGCTGGGGAAGTAAAGCTCAATGGCCTTGATACCGATGTTGGAGGGACGAGCAGCCATGTTTGCAGGAGTGTATAGTGTTGTGTGAGGAGCAGGAAGGGAGTGCGTTGGCGAGGGAGGGGAGTTCACCGCCTTAAGTACTTGACGAGTAAATCCTACGCGACAATGGCAAGGTGCAGTTTAGTAGCGGCAATCAGTTTCGTGGCAATGCTAGCACGCCGTGGGTACAGGGCTCCAAAGGGGACAAGTAACGGGTTTTGTGCAGACCTAGCACTCAACAATCCTAACAGCGGCCCACGCGCTCCCAGTGTTGTGTCTGCTAGTCCCTGAGATTTTCGGTACATTCTTCTCGGGGCATTCAGGGTCTGGCTGCGAGGCCGGCGGCATGGCGGGGCATTCGTCTGGCGAAAAAGAAACGCCTGCATGCCGCCTTGCTCGCTTCGTCCCAGCTGCATGCTCTGCGAACGTATATCTTCACTTCACTTCATCGCGCCCCCAGCATCGTGAGTTGGCCCTTTTCCACCGGGCGGAGGACGTACGCCCTCGACGACCTATCGCCGTGCTCCTTGGCATGCAGGGATTTACTAGCTAGTCAGGAACCATCAGCCCATCACAACAAGTCCCCCCTAGCAACCTCATCCGCGATACTCGACAAAGACGGCTACCTACCTCCAGCCAGAACACAGCCTCCACAGCGTGCGTAATGCCGCGTCACGATGCTGCGGTATCTATGTTGGATGAGGGATTGTAAGCTACCTGATAACATCGGACGAGAAGGCCGTCATTGCTTTGGACCCGAGTTGCCCATTGTGCTGAGGGCATCACACATCCTCAGTAGGGCTCGGCCGAAAATGAGGGCATTCGCGTTTAGCCAGGCTGCTGCCTAGATTCCCGCGGTCGCTATCTACGACCTACTTGGTGGGCGGGATGATTTTGATAGGTAGTAATCCACCGAGATCACTTGGCTTCTTCTATGGAAGGTGGTATCGTAAACGCATATAAACTCTAAGTTCAGCTTGCAGTCGTGTTCTCAGACGATCAATGACAAAAAGCAGTTCAGGAGCATCCCAAGTCGGATAAGGGATGTCAAGCACGGCCCAGACTTCAACTGACGAATGGAATCGATGCAAGTATCCGGGAGTGGCGTTAGGATGAGAACAACTGACGTTATAGGTACGTCTTTTCGGGTGAATTGATATCCCCATAGCCGCATGTTGGAGCCCAGGCTGAACCTTGGACTGCAGCGGGCGAACAGGCTGGGCCATCCTAGGCATTCCTCGCCGTTATTGTCATGGCCCTAAGGTTGACATGGGCTCCCCGATGCAGAGCACAAGTACATAAGTACCATGTGCCCGGTCCGCTTTTCAACTTTATTATCCAGAAGGTCGTGTGGTGATAGGGCATCAACTCCACTATCCAAAGCCTCTTCCCAGGGGCAGGGTCGACGTCACTGACGATCAGTGCGAGAGCACAGGACCTGAGCAGCTCTGAGCAGAAAGATGATACTGCAACAATCGCTACCTTCATCGCCTGTCACAACGAGTCCCATATTGTCAATACGTATTGCAGTTCGGGAAGCTATGCAGAACCAAATGTCCACCGCCATGTCGATGTCGCGGACCAGATGACAGCCTCAACCACGATCCCGGATGCACCATGTCATAGTCGGGCACCATGCCTAATAGCTGTTTTAAATATGTTCTGTCTGATCAGAAAGAAGCACTTTGCCCGACGGTAGGGAAGATGGGCCCGGGCCAATCGACTGTTGGCATATCGTAGAGCCTGCGATCCCGTGCATGACGCTGAGTGCACGTGAATATGATGCAGAAAGGCGGCAGAGCACATGAGGTAAGGCCAGGTCGTCCTAATGTAGCTCTATATTAATGCGAGAGGGGTGAAAATGAACTCGCAGCGACTCAAGAACGACGGGAGGAAATCAAGCGCAGAAGGTGCAGGTACATAGCAGAAACTAAAGTGCACATGTCAGAAGCTTGATGAGTTGGTCAGAGAGCCGAAGGATGCGATGTCGAAGGGGTGCTTATCGATGTTCAGGCTTGGGTGTTCGCCCGTGCGCCGTTTAGTGGCGCCAGCGTCTCAGGACAACCTCTGCCAAACCTGATACACCCTCACTCCGCTACCAACGACACGACACGACACACGCCAATTCTCGCCACACTCGCTACCAGCGCGACGCTCATCGCTACCGATCGCGCACTACCTCGATTATTTCTTTGACGACACGCCTGCTTTGCCATCGGGGAGGACTGTAAGGGGGACCAGGAAGGGCCTTTGGGGCTCAGGGACCGTTCGGCGTCATGGACCGACGCAGCAGCGACAACAACGAAGCACCGCGCCAGCCGAGCAACCCCGATGTCTTTGACGACGACTACGAAGTCGACCCCGACGAGGATGATTTCATGCCCTCCGTCTCGGATGGCTTCCGACCAGCCAACGCGAGCCAGCCCTGGCAGGGCGACCGCCAAAATCACGACCGGATAGACGCGCTGCAACGACAACCATCGACATCGAAGGCGCCCGAGAATCACCAGAGCGACCTGCGAAGGACGGCAACGCGAAACAGCACGGCCAAGGTGCGGGATTCGATGACGCAAGACGGTGGCCGACCGCCCCTCAACCGAGGGCCCAGCCACCACAGGCCCCTTGGACATCGCGACTCTGTGAGCTCTGCGGGATCCTTTGCGACGACGAGCAATTCCGAGAACCCGTTCGAGACGGGCCCGAGCCACCCATATGGCATGTACCCGCAGCTATCAATGGCACGGCCACTCAGCGTAGCAACGAGCTCTACAGAACGCCAACCACATCGATCAATGTCACTGCAGCGGCCGACACATCCCTATGCCATGTACTCGCAAAGCGGCATTGTCGACGAAGAGTCACCAGACGAGCCAGCCCAGCCACCTCCACCTCAGGTCCAGTCGACTATTCCCGTGGGATTCCCGGGCCTGAACAATGGTTACCACAGAGTGCTTGGGCCGGATGGCGAGGAGCAGGATATTATCGGACCCGACGGACACACCGAGCAGCTGCCACCGTACTCGAGATATCCAGAGGAAGGACCCACCAAGGCTTCTTTGGCAGCCGAGGCGAGCGCGTCGTCGCGTGTCATACCCGCGCCCGTCCAAGTTGACGCAGAGGATCCTTTCAACACACCCGCATCACCAGTCTCGCCGCTGAGCACTACCTCGTTCTCGCCACCCCCTCTACCTGCCGTTCCTTTACTCCCGTCCGTCACACCCGCCCGGTTGCCACCCCAGAGACCGGAAACCCAAACCGGCAATCTTGCGGCTACCAACTCTGCCGCTACACAAAGCAGTACCGTACCAGCAGAACCCTCTGACTCGTCCTCTGCATCTCTACTGGCGTCTGAGAACCACTTCTCGGAGAAGGCGGAGCCAGTCGAAGGCAAGGTCAGCTGGCGTAAGAGGAAACTATGGGGAAGGGTGCCTATGGGCGTCGCGCTTGTGGTTCTTGTCCTTATACTAGTATTCTCTGTCGCCCTCGGAGCAGCCATTGGTACCTTTGCTGCCAAGAAACACAATGATGATGACGACCAGAATGAAAATGGCAGCCCTCATGAGGAAGCGTAAGTGTTCACGATCCATCAACGAAAACATCTACTAACTCTCGCTAGACAACCGCAGGTTACGGGTCAAAATGGATCGCTTTTCGACGCCGTTCCCATCTCAACACCGTCTGGCCTCTTGCCGCTACCAACAGGATCCTTCGCCCTTCCTCTGGGCTTACCGCAATACGGACAGTCGGGATGCTTAACACAAGCAAATCAGTATTCTGCATGGTCATGCAGGATGACTTTCGCTCCGCTCGTCATAACTGTCAATGATACCGTCATTGGTGGTGAGATTCAACAAGTTGCGTCCATGGGTAGCGGGCCTTCGGTGCCGTCGAACTCTATACTATATGGCCTTCAGACTCCTGTGCTTGATACTAAGCCGATGGAGTTGGTACTTGATTTGGATTTCAAAGCCTACGGTCCAGCCTATCATTTTTCTGCTCGATACGATAAGCTAGTCATCTTGTCACCCACCGAGCTCAGTACCGGGTCAGGACTCTCAAAACGACAAGATGAGAAATACAGACAGCGCTTCAAGGTTCAACCTGGTGATACGCCCTGGTATTGCTATTGGAACGAGACATACATCGAAGGCTACATCTACGCTGACGACAACTCGACGGCAGCCACATTTACCTCGTTCCCTACCCAATGGCCCACGCCTACACCCACGCCCGACCCAACCGACGATGCGGCTGTAAATGTTGCTGTCGCTGTGCCGACTGAGAGTAGTGTCTCTACCAGCTCTACACAAACTACTACCGCGTCTCCAACGAATTCCCCTGTCAACCTGGCCGCCCCGTCACCCGTTCGCGCTCGAGATTCCGAGTCAGATGCTTCTTCAGCCCCTCGCATGGCACCTTATCCCCGGATCGTCAAGATAGAAGAACGCCGGCTCCCTGGGGCGTCACAACCATACTGTCAACAGATGCTCATGCTCGATAACGGCGAGATAGTAACATCACCTAGCCCGAACGACAGCCCAATCAGAATATGGCTACAAGAGTCAGATCCCAGCTACGAAGAGTACTTTGCCGCTCAACCTTCGCAAACCATCACATTTGACAGGAAGAGCAAGCGCGAGAACCTTGTTGATCTTCAACGCCGCGTGGACCCTGATGATGCTTGTCACTGTCAATGGATGTTCAAGTAAAGGACGGACCTGGTTTAGAGCGCTTCTTTTCTTCTTGCAACGATGTCACAGCATGATTGTCAATCTCCTTTCTTCTCCACACGGGTATTGGGTCCATTTCGCCTGTTTGGTGTTCCACGGCGTTTTGTTGATACTGACTCACGAGTCTCTACGCATCACTGGCATATTTCGGCTTCTTTTTTACTCATCTCTTTTTGTCTAGTCAAACATGTAGCATGCTATGTTTATAGCTTTCGCATTTCTGTATCGTCTCTGGGACGGAAAGTAGGTCTTTGTTTTGGGGGCTACACTGGCGCATATTGTCGCGGCGCTGCTTCTGTATATATTGCCATGGGGGAGTTCAGAACCGCGAGTACAAATTTCGCGTGAGTTCATTATTGGAAAGGGATAGATAGAAGAACAACATTAGTTATATTGTAAAGGTGTCTATTGGTGCTGATGCTGTGATGCTCATACTGGTTTAACAAGCGAACGTCAACCACACCATGAATGCCGTCTAAATGCGTAATCTATTCTATACAATCTAGTTTCTCTGCGACCCAACAAAAGAAGTTCGCAATCATGCCTCCGGCCCCCTCTCAAAAACCTTAACCCCAAACTTCCACACCTCATCCACAACAAACCTCTTCTCCCCACCCTCATTCTCTTTCAAATCCAACACGCACAAATCCGCATCAGCACCCTCATCCAAACAGCCCTTCACGCCCTCCAACCCCAACATCCTCGCCGGCGTCTCCGTAACCGCCCTCAGCGCCTCCGGCACCGTACTACCCGTCCAATTCAAAAAGTTACTAACGCAATCCACAAGCTGAATGCTACTCCCCGCAATCTTCCCATTCTCCTCAAGCGTAAGAAGGGGACCTTGTTTAACAATCTTGGACCCGTTCGTCCACTCATACGTCCCATCCGGCATACCCGCCAACCTCATCGCATCCGTCACCAGCACCAGCCCATCTGGATGCGCGTTCCACGCTATCTTTATAGACGTGGGATGCAGGTGTATGCCATCCGCAATGATCCCGAAATAGGGTTTGTTGATTGAGGAGGAGGGCGTGCCCAGCAAGCCGAAGATACCAGGGTTACGGTGGTGGAGGGGCCGCATGGCGTTGAAGAGGTGCGTTATCATACTGCATCCTGCTTTTATTGCGGATTTCGCTTCTTCGTACGTGGCTTCTGAGTGCCCGATTGAGACGCGGATGCCGGCGCTGGTTAGGGATGGGATGCTTGATAGTGCGCCGGGGAGTTCGGGGGCGAGGGTGATTAGGGAGATGGGGGAGGGGGAGGTGAGGTTCGAGGCCCCGTAGCAGGATTCTAGGCTGCTGATGGAGTCATCTGGGGTGCGTAGGACGGAGGTGTTGTGGATGCCGTTTTTGGTGGTGGAGAGAAACGGGCCTTCGCAGTGGGCGCCCAGGGATTCTGATCCGAGCGTTGCGTCGCGCGTTGTGCCTGAGGGGCCGAGGAAAGGGAGGGCGGTTTGGTAGACTGAAGGGAGTTGGGATGTCAGGGTTGGTAGGTAGGATGTTACGCCTGTTGCTACCAAACTCCGGTTTACACGCGAGACGCCTTTGGCGTAGGCTGATGCGCCGCCTTCGCGGTCTGAGGGGATTACGGAGAAGTCGAAGCCGTACGCGCCGTTTAGTTGCGTGTCGATGAGGCCGGGGGAGAGGATGCGGCCACCTGGCGTGCGAAATCAGTATGTATCACACGTGTATTCCGTACAGGCAAAGCTAACCTAAGTCGACGATTTGCTCTGGAGCGGCACGATATGAGTACAGGATTTCTTGGCCGTTCAGGATCTTTCCGGTGGCGGAACTGATCCAGAGATCTTGGGGGACTAGGGCGTTGTTTTTTACGAGGAGGCAGTTTGTGAACTTTATCACGCCTGATGAGTCCTCTCGTATGGGGGAGTCGGGGATTGGCACGATTGAAGGCATCGTGGGTCGTGTCAAGAGGACCAATGAATGAGGGAAGCTTGCCAAGTATAATGATAGAAGTATAGAGATGTGATTCAGAAATGATAATGATAGGATGGGTTGGATGGTTGGTACTGCGCAGGCGCGACTCAACAACCGTTGCAAAGGATCTGTCGTCTACCTACTACTTCTATCGCAACTGCCTACCTACGCTCATCTTCCTACGATGATGCCATTGAGTCATCACTTGCGGGCAAACTTGCCTTCCATGGCCGGTATCGTTGCCGTGGAGCGCACGCTGTAAGACTGCGCAAGGTGACTGGATGTGGATTCCGACGTCGTGAGATCGAGGTAACACAGCGATGATCACATTCCGCCGAAGAAACCTGATGGATTGCGGTTGCATGTGAGGTGGCATCAGAGTGGATGTCGCTGATAGCAGAGGGACGAGGATGGTGTAACGACGGACGGGGGTGCATGCTTCTAGCGCCTCGCTAATCACGTACCCCAGCCGCGAACAGCGTGAATGCTACGGTGCCATCCTCCCCATCTCCCATCCACCATTACCGATCTGCGAGTCACGCCGGCGGAGTCTTGGTGCCCACCCGGAAATCCCACGTCGCATCCACAAACTTCATTGCGACGCGACGCGACCGGCGCTGTCATTATGAGCAAGGTCGAAACCATGGACCCTGTCTGGGATGACCTCGATAGGTGAGCTTCGCGTCGGGCGCATTTCCTCCCCTCAGGCTTCCTGAGGTTTGCGCAATGTGACCACAGGTCAGGCTAACTTGCCCGTGATGCAGGACTATGGTGGGTCGCTTCCGCCCATGCTGCGACTGGATTCGCTGACAAAGGTGCTGTAGGGCCAACTGTTCATGATGGGCTTCGATGGCACCTCGGTCACTCCTCACATTCGTACCCTGATCGAGGAACATCATGTTGGCTCCATACTACTTACTGCCAAGAATTGCAAATGTTGGTAATCCACCTTTTTCGGTCTGTCACTGTCAGGCTGACCTGTCATAGCCGCCGAAGATACTACTGCGCTTATCTACGAGCTCCAGAAGATTGCCCACGATGCTGGACACCCTGTTCCGCTGGCCATCGGCATCGACCAGGAGAATGGCGGCGTCAACAGTCTGTTCGATGACATCTACATCCGCCAGTATCCTAGTAACATGGGAATGGCAGCAACCGGCTCCACGGACCTAGCCTTTGAAGTCGCTAAGTCGACCGCACAGGAGATTGCTGCATGTGGCATCAACTGGATCTTCGGGCCATGTCTGGACGTACTCACGAATGCGCGCAATCAGCCCCTTGGAGTACGGACGGCTGGCGATGATCCTCAGGAGGTGTCCGCCTTTGGATGCGCCTTTATGGCAGGCTACAAGGACGCTGGCGTGGTGACTTTGGGGAAGCACTTCCCTTCGTACGGCAATCTGGAGTTTCTGGGCTCAACACTTGACGTGCCGATCATCACAGAGTCGCTAGAACAGCTGAGTCTAAGCGCTTTGGTTCCGTTCAAGAAGGCCATCGAAAGAGGTCTTGATTCCATGATGGTTGGTGGTTGCGCCATGTCATCGGCGGGACTCAACGCGATGCACGCTTGTCTGTCGGAACAAGTTGTCGACGACCTTCTTCGGAAAGATCTCAAATTCGACGGTGTAGTTGTTTCCGAGTGTCTAGAAATGGATGCTCTCAGTCACAACATCGGTGTAGGCGGCGGCACGGTCATGGCAGTTAACGCAGGCTGCGACGTAGTCCTCCTATGCCGGTCGTTCTCACTCCAACAAGAAGGGCTGAAGGGCCTCAAGACCGGCATAGAAAGCGAAATGGTCTCGAAGGAACGTATCTTCAACTCACTCAGACGTGTGCTGGCGATGAAGAAGAAGTGCACATCCTGGGAAAAGGCATTAAACCCGCCAGGCATCAACTACCTGGAAAAGCTACAGCCATCGCATACCGCACTGTCAACGAAAGCGTACAACAGCTCCATCACAGTCGTACGCGACAAGAACAGGCTTCTGCCACTGACTAACATACTCGAAAGTGAGGAGGAGCTTCTCCTACTGACACCATTAGTGAAGCCGTTGGCGGCATCCGCTGCATCACGAGCGATATCCGACGCTGCTAATGGGGCAGCGGGCCACTCACCCGAGCCAGCTGCTTGGGACCGGAGTTCTTCAGTCATGAGCGGAGAAAGAGTCTTCAAAGAACTAGGTCGTTCTCTTGCTAGACAGCGTAACGGACGACTGCTTCACACATCGTACACTGCGAACGGTGTCCGTCCAGTTCATGAAAATCTCATCAATCGTGCGAGTGCTATTATTGTCCTTACGGCTGACGCAAACCGCAACCTGTATCAGCACGGATTCACAAAGCATGTCTCAATGATTTGCAATATGCAGTACACGACTGGTGGAGAGAGGCGTGAGAAACCACTCATTGTGGTCGCAGTCTCCTCACCGTACGACTTCGCAATGGACAACACCATCGGGACTTATATATGTAAGTAACGTCTGCATACCCGCTGATGTCAGACAAGCTAATTTCGTCAGGCACGTATGACTTCACAGAGACTGCTCTCAACTCCCTGGTCAGGGTGCTCTATGGCGAATTATCTCCCTCTGGAACGCTACCGGGAACCATCAGCAAAAGCCAAAAGCTCCACCCATCCAAACAACATTGGCTTGTCGAAATCTTTAATGAAGAACGAGACAGCAATGCTCTGGATACATTGGTTGCAGCTGTCGCAGAGGAAACGGCGCCAAACCAGCGGTCGGAGATGTCGAGCGCAACTTCAACCTCATTCATTTTGCATCACCCAGAGGTGGAGGAGTCGCACTTTGTCGTTAGAAACAGCAGCACACAAGCTCTGTACGGCTTCTGCTCAACATACTTCTTCAAGGCTACGGGCACTGGTGTAATAGGAGCTTTGTTCGTCGACCCAGCAAGGAGAAAGCTCTCCATTGGTCATTCCCTACACAACCGGGCTATTCGCACGCTACTCCAGAAAGAAGGTATCAAGAGATTCCAGCTTGGATCACGCCTGCCAAGTATGTATCTTGGAATCCCAACCGGACACGGAAACGAGCGGAAACGGCTCCGATCATGGTTTGCACAGCTAGGCTGGGGTGCTGCACTTTCCCGTCCTGTCTGCAACATGGTAGCACGCAATCTGCAGACGTGGAATCCACCGCCTGGCATGGCGAAGAGTCTAGCGAGCGCAGGCGCACAGTTTGATCTTGTGTACGGGTGGGACTATGCGGGACCGATACTCGACCATATCAAGACGAGCAACCGCCAGGGTCTAGCAGAGGTGTACAAACTTGCGCTTACGGACCCGACGGCTTGTGGCATCATCCGAGCCAAGCGACCAGAAGACGGTGCGTTGGTGGGCACTGTCGTGCTATACAACAACCACTCACGACTTGCCGAATACATACCCCCACTGAAGGACCTGAACGAGGCGGCTGGAGGCATCTCTTCGCCCGTCATATCACCTGGTGTAGGAGAATACTCGACACTACTGCAGGGGCTGATCCTACTCGGCATGCGACAGATCAAGCAGCTGGGATGCAATGCATGCTTGCTCGACTATGTAAGTAGCCGTTTAATGCTGGTCACGACAAGGTACTAACGCAAGTAGATGGACGGTGACGGCAACTTCGACGGCTTCTCGGCAATGGGCTTCGATGTCATGCACAACTTTGAGGAAGTCAGCTGTGATGCTGCGACCTGGACTATGATCCCGCCTGCTTGATTGCTCGGTACCTCTGCCAGATACTCATGTTCCTGGCTACTTCGGTTAATAATGTTTTGGTCGGTGTTTGGGGGTTATTTTGGGTGCGTGTGCTAGTTGCTTTTTGCTCTCCGGGACTGACTGGCATCCCATTGGTTACTTGTATCGCTCGTACCATGATCTGATGTCATACCATGCAAGCACCCTTCAGGTCGTGGGCCGTATGTACTCGGATCGGATGGTTTTCTCAAAGGGTCCGTCGGCGTTTCCGTGTACCTCGTGCTTGTCCTGCATGCATACCGCAGGATCGTAATCCCAACCATTACACCCAAAGATCAGCGGTCTCTCATGCTGCAGCCCGTGGTTCTTGATGTTTGCAGAATTAGCTCTGCCGTCTGATTCAGTCTCACGGTCGCTGGAGGCCTCGAAGGAGCTGCCCTTCCGACGCGCTCACTCGGCTGATCCCGCCCTGTCGCAAGGCGATCAGCGAGCTTTGGCCTGGTAGAGCTGCTGCGCCTCTCCGCTATCGAATCGATAGGCATGGCAGATTTCGATAGACAAGCATAGAACGCAGACACAGATGTCCTCCCGTATAGGCGACGTCGGATTAGAGGTGCTTGAGGCTTTCAGGGTTATTTTTACAGCTGAAGAGCGGGTCCATAGCTAGAGTAGGAGACGCCACTGGAGGGGATGGCGTAGGATGATCACCGTTCGGCTTGACCCTTCGAGAAGCCCTACCGAAGGCGTCAGCGTGCCAGCGCTCTGTGTCTCGTGGATCATAGCAAAGATATACAAAGTGTGCCTGGGAATCTCTGGCATCGTGGCCTGGGGTAGTCAAGCTTATCCTTCCCGTCAAAATCCCCTACCGAGCCCCACAGCAGACGGGACCCTTTGTGCAGCGCGCCTATCCGACCGTGGCCGTCAGCGCATGTGATGCAGATGCACTGTCGCACAACCTCAGCAAGACAGCTACGAAGGCCATCGCTTGGTCTTGTTCCCGCGAGCCACCGCTCCAAGCCCTGCTGTGCGGTCTAGTCCGGTGTCGCTCCTCGCTGTACAGTGCCAGCGCGCACGCAGTCTCGTCCCCCATCTTCTCCGCTCGCTCGCCTTGCCGCATCTCTCCACCTCGACAACCCCAGAGCCCCAAGCGTTCCCGATTCACCACCACCACCCGCCGACTGCTACTCCCACGTGCCTGCCACTGCACCCTCGGTCGCGCCTTCCTCGTCGCCGCACCATAGCTATTGTTGCGCGCATGCGCCGATTCGGAAGCGAC